CCTGTACCTTTGGCTCAGGTCGTGATCCGAGGGTCCTGGGATCGAGCCCTGCATCGAACCCCGCATCGGGCTCTCTGCTCGGCAGGGAGCCTGCTTCCTCCTCTCTCTCTGCCTGCCTCTGTCTACTTGTGATCTCTGTCAAATAAATAAATAAAATCTTTAAATAAAATAAAATATAAAATAAAATGAGATGCAGCTAGGACATAAAACTTGTCATAAATAGTGAATTAAATCTAACTATCAAAGAATGAAAAAATTCATTATCTGTGTTAACTTCTTAAACTAATTACATGTAAAATTATCCCTTAGTCTTAGGTTAATATGATAATTATGAATAACCAAATGAAAAGACTTTTGACACTTCTTAGCCAGTAAATAAAGCATGAGAGAGCTGGTCTCTTGTTATTCCTTTTAGAATATATTCCTTTTAGAACTACTAAAAGTAGTATATTCCTTTTAGAACTACTCAAGTTGGTTTAAGCCCAATAGTCTTTTGCTCACTTATTCATCCAGGGGCCATATTTTTTAAAAGGAAAAAAAAAAAAAAAAAAAAAAAGAACAGTACAAAGTTCTCTACCTGTGAGGTATATACATTATCAAAGACATGTGGCTATTAAGCCCAAAATAATAAAGTCTTAAAAGATTATGAATGTACTAATTGTCTCCAAATTTTTTACCTCGGCCCTTCAAAATTCATGCTTTTACTTCAGTATCCTACCAGATCTCTACTGGAAGTCTTTCACTTCCTTATATATGTCAAAAACAACAACATAATAAAATTAATCAAAAAATTATTAACAAATACATACGTTTGCCTATCACTGAATTATTTCAGGGTAATTTAGTACAAGAAGGACCTATAATGATGCTTAGTTCAAATTGCTCAAATGAAATGAGCAAACTGAGACCCACAGAAGCTGCACTTGTCCAGAATCACAGAATAATTAGTGACAGCTAGGACAGAAAGGGATCTCCCAATTCCAAGTCCAATGCTCTTTATGTTACACCACACTACATAAAAACTAGTTAAAAGTTAAGTAAATTATCTGCAAAAGCCTTTTGTATGATCACTTTAATTCTATTCATAACATGATATTTAAAAACAGTCTGGTTGCCCAAAACCTAACAAGTTTTGGGGTTTGGGTTTTTTTGTTTTTTGTTTTTTGGGTTTTTTTAGTTTGGGGGTTTTTTAAATCAATTTTATTTTACCACCCAGGGCATTTTAAAAATAGGAAAAGGATTTCATTTCCACCTTCAAATTTGGCAAAAATGTTTTCAAAGAGAACTGGACACATATTTCAAGACATAAGCACTCTCATATGAATTTTTCTTTTCTAGAGAGCAATATAGCAGAAAAAACTTAAAATTTACATCCCTTTTAACTCCATTCCTAGACTATCTTAAGGAAAGAGTAAGATTTGGATGATGACAGAGCTAAGGATCAAATGCAGCACTGTTCAGGAACAAGAGAATATCCAACGACAGTAGCCTGGTTAAAAATAATGTATGTTATATACTGAACATAAAAACTATGCCATTAAAAACTATGTTCTGGGGGGACGCCTGAGTGGCTCAGTCATTCGTTAAGCATCTGCCTTCTGCCTTCCACTCAGGTCACCATCCCAGGGTCCTGGGATCTAGCCTTGCATTGCCTGCTTCTATCTCTACCACTCCCCCAATTCTCCCTCTCCCACTCCCGTTGCTTGTGTTCCCTCTCTCACTTTGTCTCTGTCAGATAAATAAATAAAATCTTAAAAAAAAAAAAGTATACATGTGTGTACATAAAATAATACAGAAAAAAGCCATCATAGTGCATGGTACATAGTAAAAATCCAATAAATAAAAAGGATTCATCATCAACATCATTGGAAAGGTTTGATTACAGTGTATCAAATGTTAAGACTTGTTATCTGAGAAACAAATAAACAAATAAATTATTATTACTTACTCCCTTTAAGAACTATTTAGTACATTATCGTAAATTACTACTTTTGCAAGAAGGAATTCTTTTTAATTGACTCTTTAAGTTAGTTCCAGTTATTACTAAAGGATGGAAAAGAAAAGCAGACTTTTACAAACCTTTCCCCAAATTTGGCACTGCATAAGATAAAGTCTTACATATAATAGATCCTTCATTAATTATTGATTAAATATACACTCACAATGAACTTTTGAGAGCTATCTCTCCACACCAAACTCTAATTTCAAGTAATACAGTATGTATTAGAGGATTTCAAAATGAGGCCTCTAAAGGCCTTACTGGATTTTTCCACAATGGTTACCTAGAAAAAGTTACTGGTTTCCCAAAATAGTGGTGATTTTCAGTCTTTAAAAAGTTGAAATCAGGTGAATAACATTTAAGTGTTAAGAACAGTCTCTAATGTAATTAAATTCCTACTGATTATGGCTTCTAAAAAAGGAAAAAAGGTAAAAAAATATATATGAAAGGCCCAGATAAAATCCATATTATGGGGGAATTTTACTATGCTGAGGCTTTAAGAGTGTCTGTCATAACATATATATCTTTTGTTGTTTCTTACTATATTCAACTATAAGTAATAAATTACCTTTATTAAAGTAATAAATTACCATTTATATATTAAAGATAAGATAAATTATTAGAATAAAAACTACATTCCAAATTAGTTCACACTTTGTGGCTTAGCTAATGAACAATGTTGGCTCTAATAAAACTGATTACCAGATGAACACATCGCTTCCTAAAATTAAAAAATATACATATTTTAAATAAAACCTCTAAGAGTTTGTCCCCATTAACTGTTAACATCTCATTAAAAAATACATATGCTAAAATATTTTTTACTGTTCTACCAAAACTAACATAACAAAGCCCTAGGGAATAACTTTTTAATAATGCAGGAGAAATTTGTGAAAACAGAATTCTAAAGGTCTTGGTGAATGAGGTAATCTCCAAGGTGTCCTATATCAAAAACTTTTTATTTTTTTAAGTTAAAAAAAAAAAGGCAACCCTCTCAACTTGCCTTTTGGTGTCTCAAATATCAACATCTTTGGGATTAAAAGTACTGGGAATTGTTTACTGATTTTCAGTGTAACAGCAGTATCACCCACCAATATCACTACATGAAAAACCTGCATTCTTAATCTGCCCACAAGTATTAGAAAAAGAGTCCATTTAGAAACAATATATTTTATGCATGTGTCAATTCACCTTCCCTCATTTTTCTATTAGATGCATCCAGAGAGGAAATATTAACATTTTACTTTAAATATGGTAATTTGTCTTTTCCCATCTCTAAAACAGAATTTGACATTTTGATCCAGGCTACTTTCTTAAAAGATACCAGTAAAAATTATCGTCCTTCCGTTCAGGATTTTTAGCAGTTTTTCCCCTAACTAAGTGTTATCTGAGATACTTCTTGATCTCTCTCAAAGTAGGTCTAATCTGCGGAAGGCAGTGAGACAGTGCACTGCACTGTGAATGGACAGCCAGGTATTTTATGAATGGAGGCGATCACGTGATCCCAGCACCTCCCCGAACTGATATTTCCCACATAACTGTGTCAACATTCTGAGAACAGAGGTAGTTGTTTGTGTGTGCGTATGTTTTTGAATTTAACCTATAACTTCTAATTCTCCTTACTTCCTGATCTCGAAAATCTACATGAAGACAGACAGTCAGGCTTTGAATCTTTGTCCTGGGAAATCCTTTCAAGATGTCCAAGGTGATGGATGTTTAATTATTTTTTTATGAATGAAGAGTGTGCTATGCAAATGAGGGCGATTCACAAAAAGAGAGAGAACATGGCGGCCACTTCTGCTTCTAGACTGCACTGACACTGCAGCAATCTACCTTCTCCCACACCCGCACATCAGAAGAGTGTGTTGGGGGGGGATGGAGGTTTGAGGAGAAAAGCTGTTTGGCATTTCTCAAGCTATTTTATGTTAAACAGGCCTAGGCTTTGGATTTTAAAGTTCTCTCAAAAAGGTCTGACTCGAGGAATGCACTTTATTTAAAGGAATGCATCCAGGACTAGTCCTAACTCTCTTAACTCTTTCCAATCCTCCGAAGATAAACAAAACTTGAGCTTAATTACAGGAGAACGGACGCAAATATTCTGCACGGAATTAAATCCGGTCTCGGTAAAAACTGTTACCGCACCATTATTCTTGCAGGCAGCCGTTACCTTGAAGCAAAATATTTAAAAGGCAACATATTTCGTTTGGAAAACAAGCCGCCCAAATAAACACAAACTTAAACCATGACACTCTAGAAGTTAATGAATGAAGTCATCAACACATTCAGCAATGTAAATACTGTTAAACCAACGTAAACGGTGTTTCTCAATACAGCCGAAGGATAAAAATTAACATTCAATATTCTTCTGTGCCCCTGATAAAGGTATGCCCAGCATTCGCAAAGGTAAAACGTAACAGTTCAACGTCCCCCACACTCCAGGTGTCCTTCGTTATTAAATTCTAAAAATGTTTCCCTAGTTCCATTTTCTACATGAAGCTTACAGGTCATAAGTTTAAAAGGGGGGAGGGGGGAGGTTTAATCGGTATTTAAGAGTCACTGACTCATCGAATTAAGATTCAAGAGCAGTTTGCTGCAGGAGGTGCTCCCACACATTAGTTTCCAAGTAAAATAGCTATAAAAGAAGCAGGATGGATATTCAGGGTATGTGGACTGGTATGCTAAAGTGAAAAAGGGCAGGCCAGGGGTCTTCGAGGCAAACAAGTAATTTCTACCCCGCCACCATCCGTCCACGTTAGTCCATCTCATAGGCGTACAATTGCCATCCCACCCCAACACTCAATACCCTCCCCCAGAAATAAGCACTAAACGCGGGGGGGGGGGGGGGGGGGGGGGGCTGCCATTAAATGGCTAAAGAAATCAAATGTTATCTCCAGAACAAGATGCACCGAGCTCTCCAAGCTTGCAAGCTTTCCGGCACCCAAGTCTCAGAGGGGTCGGAAGGATGGGGGGGGCTACTAATCAAGATCAATGAGGCGCTTACTCGCTGTCAGAAGTCGCCGTCTCCTCGCTCATCTTTCCCTCACCGCGATCCGATCTGGAGATGGAGGAGCAACAGCAGGCGGAGGAGCAGCAGCAGCACCGAGGGGCAGGAGGCAGCGGCGGCCGGGGGGGCGCGGGTGCAGCGGCTCAGGGGCCTCACCATGGTGGATGCCTCACCCGGAACGGTGCCCCCCCAGCCGGGAACCCCGGCCACCCCCGCAGGGGGGTGGCGGCAACAACCTCCGCCGTGGCGACCCCAGCCTCTTCCTCCGCCTCAGCGCCCAGCCAAGGGATCCGAGGAGGCCAGGGACGGTGGGTGGAAAAGAAAAAGGGCAGAGGGGCTGCGAACGCTGACTGGAGAGCTGCTCCTCCCGCCACCGGGGTGGAGCGCGGCGGGGTCCGGCCAGGAAGGAGCGGGCGGGCGGAGAACCCGGGAGCAGAGGCGGCGCTTCCCTCAGGGATGCGGCGAAGAGGAAGCAGAGATCCGTTCGGTGGGGGCCGGCGGGAGGGTGCCGAGCCCAGGCTCCAGGCGGCGGCGGCGCGGTCCTGCCGGAGCCCACCCCACCATCTCCCACCTCGCCGCCGGCTGCCCGCTTAGCGCCAAGAGGCGGCCGGGGCGGTCCTCAGCCACGAGCAGGACCGGGCGAGGGGCCTCGCGGCGGCGGATTCCTCCAGACACGCTCCAGCCGGGACGCCTCCAGGAGGGGGAGGAGGGGGCGGCGGGGAGCGTGTGAGGCCAGGGCAGGCAAGCCGATCTCCCCCACCCGGGTCGGAGAAGAGCAGGCGCACCCAGGAGACAGGGTCCCGGGAAGCAGCGGGATAGCGAGGAGAGCGGACGCAGATCCCCCACCAGCCGGTGCCCACCAGCAGCTCGGCGGGCCAGCTCCTCACACCCGCCAGAGGGGAGCTGTGAGAGGGGCGGCGGAAGCGCTCACGCCGCCCGCTCCTTCCGCCGCCGCTGCCCGAACCGGGGGCGCCCAAGGGAGAAGGAGGCGAAGTAGTCCCTGGCGACTTCTCCCGGCCGCCTGCCTCCCCCGGGGGCCAGAGCGGACGCGGGGTGCGGTTGCCGAGCGCAGTACCCGGGCTGTGAGGGCGTGTGAGCAGGGCTAAAAGCTGCGGCCTCCGGGTGAATCACTGCAACTCGAAGTCGTGTGCAGCATAGCAAGTTTCAGGAAAGTAGTTCCCTCCTCCCTTCATTTCCCAAATCGTTGTCGAGCCACAGAGCGGGGAAAGGAGGAGGGAGGCGGAGGGATACGTCAGGCACCGTGTTCGGTGTGCGTGCGCGCGCTCCAAACTCTTGGCACGCCGAGAAAGGGGGCGGGGGTGTGAGCTGCACGGGGAGCTGCTTGGGAGGTTGCATTGTTGCGCCGCGTTACTCCCCGTTACACCCCGTTACTCGCTTTGGAATATCCGGGTTGTTAGAACGAGGAGGCTAGAATGACAGTGTGGTCAAGGAGGAAATGGGAGGCTGTTCTGTTTTGCCGTGTGTGTGTGTGTGTGTGTGTGTGTGTGTGTGTGTGTGTGTTGGAGGCTGCTCTGTTTTGCTGTGTGTGTGTGTGTGTGTTTTCCTTGCAGAGCAAAGAATGGAGCTGGCATGAGTTCATTTTTAGTTGGTGGGGGTTAGAGGGAGGGACCGTACAAAGAGAGCTCCGCCTGCTGTCCCTCTGGTTGCACTGCTGCAGTCCCCTAGCTGCATGTACAGCGGGAGTGCGTGTGTGTGTGTGTGTGTGTGTGTGTGTGTGTGTGTGTGTGTGTTAGAGTTAGTTTTAATACCTTGGATTCTTAATGCGCGAGGGGTATGCTGTGCAGGGCATTCATCTCCGAAAGCTAGAGAGGTTGTTAATGGAGAACGACTTCCATTGAAGCCCAGAGTAGGCGTGTTACATGAATCTGGCGCAGCCAGAAGCGCAGGAAATAACTCCCGCTGCGAGTGAGGTTGCATAACTATAGCGCAGAAGATGCCTCTGTGGCACGAACTGCTCTAAACGGAGGCGGAATGATTATTGAATAGGCAGCTGTCACTTTTGCATTGTTAGAGGACAATGTATGCATTCATCTCGAAAGGTTTTTGCTCAGAAACCTGCTGGGGTTTCAGCCGGCAGTCTAGGGTCTGCGGGACTAGAGAACTCACGGCCCCTGGCCTCTGCAAATTCTATCATCCCTTCTACCTAGAAAGCCAGCCTTACGCCATCCGACCTGGGGGCTGAGTCCTAAGTTTCTGACGCATCTCTCTAGATATCATCTAGTTTTGTGTGCGGTGTTTTTCTCCTCATTTTCAGGTTTGTGTGGCCTGAGAGTAAATGCTGCTTCTGCCACCTTGAGGGGTAAAACAATTCCTGAGGATGAGGAAAGTGGGGAAAACTCCCAAACCAGCCAGCGCTCCTCACCTGGCATCTGTCTCCAGAAGGTTTCAGGATTGCTGCTTTCTAGAGCGCATACACTAGCCTGTTATTAAACAGTGTTTTGCACATAGTAGGTGCTTAATAAATGAAGAGTAAAGGAGCTAAGCCTCTCAGGCGGCCCCCAAAACCAGCCCACTGATTTCTGAGGTTTCTTTAATGTAATTCTTGCCTCTTCTGGGCAGCAGCATTTCCTTACTCAGAGTGAGGAAGGGGCAGTGTTGGTGGCTGGAAGAGGTGACCTCTCTTACCTCTGAACATGCGTTTTATTGTTGTTGTTGTTGTTTGTTTTGTTTTGTTTTGATCTTGTTCCTGGGAAGACCCTGTTCCGGGAGTGTTGGTACTGGCCTGCTCTCCTTCCTACTACTGCTACCCAGTTTGCCTTCTCAGATTTGAATCAAGTCCCATCAGTTATCGTTTGTGTGTTCTAGACAGGTTACGTAAACATTGCCTGTGGAAAATGGGGAGAATAGTACCTAATTCATAGAGCTGCTGTGCTGATTCATGAAGTAATAATATACGTGAAACCCTTAGAACAGATGAAGAGATCAATAAATTCTAGCTCTTCCTCTGATTTTGTAAAATGGATATGATGGTACACTCCATGACAAGGTGGTGGCAGTGACTTGGAAGGTTAAACAGCCTTGCTTGTTCATTCGACAAATAACTATGGACTTTCTTCTGTTACTGCTCTTGCTAGACACATGGCCTGGCCCTTAGCAAGCCTTATCCATAAATGATTGCTCTCAGTCATTATGGTTAAGTAAGTACAAGGAAAGTTGGGTCATTGGCAAAGGCCTCCTTTTCTTTTGAAGAAGTTTGCATCTGCTTGAGGTTCACCTGCATCAGGGAAAGGATCAATGACAGGCTTTGGGAGATCTGAAAACCATCTTGGCTGTGCTGTGCAAGGCACTGTGCTGGCCACTTTCACACACATTACTTACCGAAAGGGGCAATATATGATCAATAGCCCAACTTCACACTTTTTAGATTGTTCCCAGTCCTATAACCAAGACACAATCACCAAACTGTTCCTCACCTCCAGTGTTCCCCATACCCCTCTCAGGACACATTTGTGTCCTTCTTTTTAAGGGTACATTTCTAGTCCTCCCCTCTCACCCAGTTATTGAAGATCTTACCAGCATTTTAGTAAACTATCTTGGTCTGAAGAGAGAATTCTACTCTGAAGCAATCAGAAATGATCCTACGTTCAGGCTCAAGGGTCAGGGGTCTTTCAGTCTAACTCACTGTCAGTAGCTACCTTAAGCTCAAGAGGCCTCACTGCTCTATCCCAGTGTCTGTACCTTTGCCAGTACAAGAGACAGAATGACCAAATGCAGTATGGGAGACCTTATTTGGATCCTGATTTGAACAAATACTTTTAAATTTGAGATCATCGGGAAAGCAAACACTAACTAGAGATTGATGATAATAAGGGATTTTTTTAAAAAGTATTAGTGTTATGATTGTGGTTTTTTTAAGTCCTCATCTTCTATAAAAACATACTGAAATATCTATAGATGATATATCTGAGATTTGTTTCAAAATAATTCAGTAGGGTGAGGAGTGGGAAGAAGTAGTTAGGGATAGAGATGAAACAAGATTGGCTACAGAATGATAATGAGCACATTCTCTTTATTATTTCACACATTTGAAATTTTCTATAATAATTTTTTTTTTTTTAATATGCTGGAAGTACTGCTTGAAAGCAGATTCCTTAGCCCCACTCCCAAGATTGGGATGGAACTGACAAATCTGCTTTTCCAGAACGATGCCAGGTTCTTGGTCCTTCTTAACCCTTCACAGTCTTCTACCTTTTTCCCTACAACTACTTTTCATCCCATCTCCAAACACATCCCTACCTAAGAATCTCGATTTCAGCAGCACCCAAAAAAGGGTGGCCCAACATCTATCATAAACTAAGGCAGGTCAAGGCCAAAGGGCTAGTTCAGTCAGGGAAGCTGGATCTAATAAGACTTGAAAAGTGGGCGCCTGGGGGGCTCAGTGGGTTAAAACCTCTGCCTTTGGCTCAGGTCATGATCCCACGGTCCTGGGATTGAGTCCCGCATCAGGCTCTCTGTTCAGCAGGGAGCCTGCTTCCTCCTGCCTCTCTGCCTACTTGTGATCTCTGTCTGTCAAATAAATAAATAAAATCTTTAAAAAGAAAAAAAAAAAAAAGACTTGAAAAGCTATGTGAAAAGGTAAATACAGATGCAGATCACAGTTTCACCTGAAGTTCCAGATCCATTTAGTTGGCACAGCTATCAATGAGTGCTAGTCAAAGATTCTGTGGCCATGCCAGAGGTCATCCAGGCAGGGGCATGCTTGTATTTACTTGGGTGTGTTTTCTCAGGTGGGTCTGTGGGGAAAAGGCTGGTCACATTGACTGCTGCTCACAGGTCGCTCACATTACTGTTGTCCTCAGTTTTAGGAATTAACCATGGCCACTTACAAAGTTGTTATAGATGATTAGTTATCAAAAGCATTTATGCACCAACAGCACAAGTGCCAAGTGACTCCCACTATAGGACATCATCACAGTTAGGAAGGTACTAGTGGTTTCTGGGTTCCAGGTGGGTATCAGACCATGGTTCACAAGGTCGGCAAAGGTGGCCTATCCTCATGGAAGCCCTGGCAGATGGCATGTAGCACTCCGACTCAAGGCCTTTTCCCTCTTTCCAGACCGCTCAGTCCCTAGTGATCATCTTTCTGATGAACTCAGACTTTATCTCCTCAAATTCTTTTCTTTTTGCCTTTACTGTTTTACCTTTGTATTGATAA